GGGGTCCACCCCGGACTGGTCTCCAATAGTTGCAGGCCACATATAAACAAACAATCATCCGTATAGTCTATAATTAACCACACACGCAGGGTTTTGGAATGTGAGGAAGCCAGAATATGCAAGCACGTGGACAATATGCCAACTCCGCACAGAAAGGCAAGATTTGAACACGCGCGCACACACACACATACATACATATATATATGTGTCATAATTTTATGACAAAGTTCAGTTCCCACGCGGGGGTGGTTAATTCCTTTCACCCAAATTCAGCTGGGATAAACAATCATCCGTATAGTCTATAATTAACCACACACGCAGGGTTTTGGAATGTGAGGAAGCCAGAATATGCAAGCACGTGGACAATATGCCAACTCCGCACAGAAAGGCAAGATTTGAACACGCGCGCACACACACACATACATACATATATATATATATATATGTGTCATAATTTTATGACAAAGTTCAGTTCCCACGCGGGGGTGTCATCGGCCTTTCACCCAAATTCAGCTGGGATTGCCTCCAGCTTTCGGCAGCTACGGACGGGCCAGGTGGTTTCCATGCAAGGCATGAAGTTCAAATATTGCAATCATGATGATGTACGATTACAACACGCCTGCGTGGCCCGAATACGTCTTTGCTGCATGTCCTTGATGAAGATGATATTTCCAGGGGGAAAAAAGTTTTTGCTCAGAAGCGCATGTTTGTGACGGCCAACAAAAGAGTGAAAAACACACCTTCTCACCCCCCTACAAGGCCTCCTTAGCATACAGATGGGGACTGCGATGGAATTGTTAGCTTTTAACTGTGGAGGTGGATCTCATCTTGCTCTTAATTCCCACCCGTGAATGGGTCACGTTGACAAGGGTAATCCATCTGCTGGGCCGACGCACATGCAGATGGTCTCTGGAGGGCAGAGCCATCCCTTGTGTCCTGTTACAACATCAAAGCATTTGTGCAGCCAGCCCGTTCAGGTAATTGCTGAATTGTCGGTTTGGCGAGGCAATTGTCAGGTGGCACGATCATGACAGGGATTGAGTTCATACATTTATTATTGTTAATTCTTGACTTTTTTTTTTTTTTTTTTTTTTTTTTTTTTGGGCCGGCAAATTGGGCGCAAAACCAGAAGATGTGCGGCATTCCGTGCCGCCATTCTGTTTTGGAAGTGACAGGGCGGATTGCTAGGACAGATATCAAGCGCCGTAGAAAGTCATTTTTCATAAGGCGACGCGGATGAATAGCAATTGCATCGCCGTTGAGCAGAATGACTGACTGTGGAATGTTGCTATCGCAACAGTCTCACCGATGAGCGTCAAAGGAATTTGCCAACTTCTCTCTCTCTCCAGAGAGATTTCTTTCTCTTTCGGTTCTGATGCCGGTATAACGAAAACACACAGTCACTCAAGCGACTTCAATAGGTACACCTGCCATACGGGTTTCTGCACCGTATGACCCGCTGAAAACTACAGCCACAGTAAAGGAGATGTTGTTACATTCGCCTCGATGATGATGTGATCCACATCGACTTTGCGCTGACGCACGCAAGACGTCGTAAATGGTCAAGTAGCTGAACGCAAAGCGCTGCGGATAGTTCATTCCCATCAAAACCTTTGACATTTCTCGTCGATCAAATCAAAGACTGGCTTGCTTGCATCAAACGCAACCGTCAGTCACATCCATCCCGCGTGAACTCCTTCCACCGTCCGCTCGTGTGCGCCGAAGTCACTCGAGCGTGAGCGGCACCCTGCAATCTGACTTCTGACACCAATCGGAGACCTTGAGTTGCGCAAGGAAATGGCAAGAGGGCACTTCATCTTGCTTGAGGAAGAGAATCTTTATTTGAGTAAGCCAAAGGCCAAGACTAACTCGCAGATGAATGGCACACACGTGGGAAACGGACAAGAGGCCACTCAACAGAACGCTAACTTCACTCTCAAATCTGAACGTCATGACGCCACCACGTCACGGGTTTGTAAAAGGCAAAATGACGGTGACTATTGATGAAATGACGCTTAACGTCACAGCTGTTGTTGTTGTTCAGAAATGTAAAGAAATGACAATTTCTCAACATTATTTTGGGGCATCCAACCCATTTTTATTTCAACTTAATGCAGTTGAATCCATCACAGTAAGTGCACATGCAAAATATCATATTTAAATCAACACAAGTTTGTTGGTACCAAGAATCATGTTTTAAAAGTATCATATATTAACATTTAGGTAATTAAGCGAACAGATTTGGAACATGACAGAAAAACGACATCCACAAAGACCAAACACTCTTGATAAAGTGTAAAATATGTCTGCATGTCTTTGAGAAAATACTTATTTAATTTAAAATTAAAAAAAGAGCTCAATCTGCAACACCAGAAAAGAAACACACAAAAACATCTTTTTGTTCAATGTCGAACTTGTGGTTTGAAAGAAGAAAAAAAACTTTGCATTTCTTGTCATGAGTCTGCAGGATGAAACGTTTTCTAGCGGATTATCATCCCGTCGTATGCGTAAATCCAGCTACGAGTCTGCTCCCCCTCAAAAAAGAAAAATAGCTGCGCTGTCGAATGAAAAAGTGAGAAAAATTACTTTACAGTTGCTGCTCAGACTTAGCGAATGAACTGCAGCACCCACGTATCAACTCCCAATTTAGCAGTACGCCACCTGTCTCACTTCACGAACACTACACGTAGCACCTACTTCAAAAAAAAAAAAAAAAGTAAAATAAAAATGCTAAGCCAAAAATAAATCCGTAAAAGTTTAAGAAGCGACTACAGCGTGGCCACGGGGGACATCAAACACGGGAATCTGGTCTGATCGAATGTGATAAATTTGGAAACGTCTGCCGTGAGGCTGAAAGGTCGGATATGTCCGGCGCCTAGTCGACAGCAAACAGGCACAAGATAGTCGCGTTCCATGCCTGAGTGACGGAGGTAGAAGTGCCTTAAAACGTGGAGCTCATGGTCCTAGTCGCCATACGCAACAACCAATTACATAACCATCGACCTCAATTAGCATGTGCCTTTAAGAGGCGGAGCTTATGGCTTTCAGAGGGAAAATGTCACGATCGCGCGTCAACGATGGCTGGTTGAAGACAAAAGCACGTGGTGCGAATGCTCACGGGTTTTAATGGATGAAATATGAAAAATGCGTGCGATACGAACTGTTGTTGCAGTGCTTAGCGAGCGGCGGATTTTTTTTTTGCACACGGCGGGATCGCATTCCTCCCTCGGGGGTCCTAAAACTAAAGCTGAATGTTCAACCCTGCGTCAAGGTATGGCTCAGAGGAGAGTATCGAAAAATATTGTTGGCGCAGGTCAGAACGATGCGGTCGGACCTCAAGCGCTATCAAATCATTGCACGAGGACACCTGAAACAATACTATTGCTTACTGTTCGAGGAATGTTTTTCAAAGCATTTTAATACGGTAAATGACCTCCTAGCTTAAATGTCGATTGTCATCAGTTCGCTTTTGCACTAAAAAAAAAGGAGATCTGTCACAGTTGTGTTCTTTTTCACAATGTCCGAAAAAAATCATTCTCACTTTTACAGCCACGTGGTATCGACTGTGCCGCTTCGATCTTTTCCACCTTTTTCACAGATTTTGAGAAGATTGAAACTTTGCTGCCAGTAAGTCTGAAATGTGATGCTAAATGCTGGCCCATCATCACAGAGAATCGGACCGAGCATTTGAACATTTGGACCTGAGCTTTTAGCAAACCGCTGCTTCGATTCTCGAAGAATAATATTGCTCATGCATATACGTGCCAAATCTAATTCATGACTTTACACTAAAAGATAGTTTGACAGTTGACATCCGCCCCAAACATCAACTTTAAGGATTGCAACGCAAGCCAAAAGAGATTTGACGACCAATAAAAATGTTTTGTTTTTGTTTTTTCTCAACGATAAAACCAAAAGTGGTTGAGGGCTTGTCGTTTGAGCCGTTATGGTCTGCAAGTGTCTTCCGGGCTCTCGGGCAGGCATATAAAATCAGTGATATGCAGCCATTTTGGATAAGTGGTGCCGTACATTGGAAAACGAAAAACACTGGTCAGTAACATGAGAAAAGTGCAAGAGAGCACCGCCGAGGCAGTTTGCTTTGAGGAAATGTTTGGACATCACATACGGGTCTGAGAGGGCAAAATACACGATGGCAGATGGGGGGGGGGGGGGGTAGGCTGG